AGGAAATTTGGGAAATACTAAAAAATACATAAAGAAGAAAGTAGAATCACCTGTTGTCAAATAACCCAAACTTAACTCCTATAGTAATTTTTATACATTCACCTTTAGTATAGTGTAATATATAAGCAATCTGTGTCAACTATGAGAAAAAGTTGCATTTTTATTTCAAAGTTCAAGATAATTAGCAAACCATATTAAATGACTTTAATTATTTTAAAAATTTGCTTAATCTTACAAATGTGAACAAATATGAACTCTCCTGTCCCATAAAAAGTATGTATTGTGTTCTTCTATTTCTAAAATGTTTGAAGATGTATTCATTGCCTTATTAACGAAGTAGTATGGTAGAGACTTGTGTTGGCTAACAATAATGATTTTCACTTTATTTCCATTAATTTATAGTGTAATTTCCTTTCAAACCCTAGCAATAATTTAACATTTGTGTCAGAAATACCTGAAGTTTTTGTGACCTAAATAGGAATTTGTAAGGTATTTATGAATCTGTTTTGCTTTTTGTTTGTTCTTTTGTTTTTGTTTGTTTGGTTATATGTTTTGTTTTTTAGATCCCAGATATAAGCGAAATCATATGGTATTTATCTTTCTCTATCTGATTTATTTCATTTAGCATAATACCTCTAGGTCCACCTATGTTGTCCCACATGGCAAAAATCTCATTTTTTTATGACTAATATACCAACATACCAGTGTGTGTGTGTGTGTGTGTGTGTGTGTGTGTGTGTGTGTGTGTGTATTTCACATCTTTTTTTATCTATGTATCTAGAGTTGATACCATATCTTGGCTGTCATAAATAATGCTGCAGGGGCATTTGGGTGGCTCATTCAGTTAAGCATCTGACTCTTGATTTTGGCTCAGGTCATGATCTCAGGATCATGAGATCCAGTCCCGAGTCCGGGCTCCCTGCTCAGCTGGGAGTCTGCCTGGGATTTTTTCTTTCCCTCTTTCCCAGTCCATCCCCCCATTTGTGTGCTCTGTCTCTAAAATAAATAAATAAATCTTTAAAAAAATAAATGATGCTGCAATAGGTGTGTGTATATCTTTTTGAATTATTGCTTTTGCTTTCTTTGGATAAATACCCAGTAGTAGAATTATTGGATCATATAGTATTTCAATTTTGCTTTTTTTTTTTTTCTGGAATCTTCATACTGTTTTCCACAGTGGTTGCACCATTTTGTTTCCACCAATGTGGTGGGAGGGTTCCCTTTTCTCCACATTCTCACCAACAGTTGTTATTTCTTGTCTGTTTGATAGTAGCCATTCTGACTGGTATGAGGTGATATCCCTGATGATTAGTGATGTTGAACATCTCTTCATGTGTCTGTTGGCCATCTGGTATGTCTTTGGAAAAGTGTCTGTTTAGGTCTTCTGCCCATTTTTTAATTGTTTTTTTTTTTTTTTTGGTATTGAGTTGTATAAGTTCTTTATGTATTTTGGTTACTAACCTCTTATTGGATATATCATTTGCAAATATCTCCTCCATTCACTTTTTTTGAAGTTATAATTTCTCTATTACTTATTGGCCTAACTTGCATTTTTACACTAATTCTTGTATTTTGTGATAGATGAAATATAATGATATTAAAACTTGAGTGTAATTTAATTTCATCTAAATATAAGAGCTCTGTCATTTACATGAAGCTCCTAACCATGTATCTTTAGATCAGTGTATTATCACTTCCATTATGTAATAATTAATGAGGCTTATTTTTTATTGACTTGTTGACCATTGTTTTTTAACTTCTATATCTTTGAGAGCAATGCCACTTGTTCCAGACTGTAGATAATAAAAACTAAGTATTGATACTAATATTACCTTGAACAAACGAATGTTCCTTATTTTTGAAAAAATTTTCTTGTTCACCTACAGCCCTTTTCCTACTCACTTCTCTCTTTTCCTTTTTAAAGATACCTATATTTTCCCTCATAGAGATCTAGATAAATGCTTTCACTTAATCTGGTAAGAAGCTTACTGCTCTAACACTTGAGAACTTTTCTAAAAGAAGAAATTGAAGCTTTACCAAAAACTTGGGAGGAGGGGGCTATTTCTTTCTTGCCCACAGTAGAATCCTACCATTAAGCATAATTCTTGGAACATAGCAGTTAATTCACTAAATATTTATTGAATATGTGAGTGGTATCCCAGAGGAATGAAACAAGAATATTATTCTTAGTCTCTTTCTTCACTAGCATCATTTAAGGCAGCAGTGGAAATTTAAACTGTAATAGAGTTTTTTTCTCCCAATTATGATGGTTTTGTGTGATGTAGACTCAAGGTTCATGCCAAGAATAAGTAGACAAAACTAAGAAAAAAAAGAAGAAACAAAAATCTATTTGATGGCACTGGAGAGACAAAGAAGAAACAAGCCCCCCACTTTTAACACATAGTAGACACTAATGTTTGTCTCTTGAGTGCCACTTGATTGCTTTAAATTCAGCTCTGCTTTTAGTGGTCATCTGTTTTATATCTCAGACTTCAGCAAATATTTCTAGGGGAAAGATGGAGAACCTTAAGATCTTAAGCATCTTTCACTTTGAAATCATAGTCCCACACTTCAGTCCCACATGATTTTCATGACCTTAATTGTATTTTTGCCTTCTCTTTCATTAATGTGGCTACCATATTTAGTATTTGCCTCTTTATGTATTGGGGAGGGGGTCAATTTATTGTTCACCTCTTAGTTCTTTAAATGAGTACTTAGATCAACAATTATTGACCTTTCATTTATAATTAATTCATACATCACTTACATCACTAGCAGTTTTAATTTCTTTGCTACATTTTCACTTCCACTGTCAAATTCCTTCCTTAGAGTATCTATTTTTATAAAATGTCACATAAGTTTATCACTGGGAGACAAGGAAGCAATGTGACTACATACTTTGAGGTCTATGCTTAATCTGAGTAGCCCATGCATGGTGACCTGTCACTGATAGACTTTGAAAGAAGGAATTTGTCTATGTCACTAATCATGATCCACATTTCTTATTTGTGTAGTGATTTGTGGATTGAAGGGCTACTAGAGAAGTTTGTAATTTATACAATCACACATAGTAGATGTACCATGTGAACTGAAATGTGAATCATATTTTTTGGAGTTCCTTGTATTATTGAACTAAACCATATAACTAAAATTTGTGCTTATCAGAATCATGTAAAACAAGAATTTACAGTTACTTTATTAGTTATCAGTAAAATATAAATTAAAGACACAATGTGATACCACTATACACTTAGAGGAATAGCTGTGGTAGGCAGAATTCTAAGCTGACACATGAATCTAACCCTTGTGTAATTTCTTCCCCTGGAAAGATGGGACGTCACTACTGTAATTAAGTTTTGTTCTGTGGCAAAAGGGACTTTGTAGATGTAGTTAAGATTACTAACCAGTTGACCCTGAGGTAATCAAAAAGGAGATCATCTATATGGGCCTAACCTAATCTCATGAACCCTTTAAAAGCAGAGAATGTTCCCCCCGCCCCAGTTGTTAGCAGCATAAGAAATCAGAGTATGAGAGAAATTTGAAGCATGAGAGTGTTTCAATGTGAAGGATGTTCTTCATTGCTTGATAGACAGGCCATTGGCCACTGACCTGTGAGGAGCTTTTAGTAGCTCAGACTGGTCACTGGCCAATAGCCAGCAAGAAAAAGGAGACCTGATTCTTACTACTCCAAGAAACTAAATTTTTCTAACCACCTTAGTGAGCTCAAAAGTGGGTTCTTCCCCCAGAGACTCTAGGTAAGAGTATGGCCTAGCTGCGAACCTGGCATTGCCCTAGTGGGACCTTAATCAGAGAACTCAACTGAGCTCACTAGACTTCTTACAGAACTATGAGATAATAATTTGGGTGCTGTTTATCCTGCTATGTTTGTGTTAATTTGTCATGCAGCAATAAAAAATTCATATAAGATTAAAATTTTAAAAACTGGCCAAACTAAGTGTTGATACAGACATGGAACAACTGAAACTCTTCTTCTGTTTTGGGGAATGCAAATCAGTGCAATCAGTTCAGAAAACTGTTTAGCAATAGCTACTAAAGCTGAAGGTAAAATATATGGACATATCCTATGAACAGTTCCTAGGTATTTTTCAATACAAATTTATTTGTGCATCAAAAGAAAAAAAAGTGCATGTATGTTTACAGACATTTCAAAATAGCCTCAGACTAGAGGAGTCTAAGTGTCCATCACCAATAAAATGTATAAATATGTTGTGGTATATTCCTTCAATGGACTGCATCACCAGTAACATGTATAAATGTGTTGTGGTCTATTCCTTCAATGGACTGCATCACCAATAACATGTATAAATGTGTTGTGGTCTATTCCTTCAATGGACTGCATCACCAACAACATGTATAAATGTGTTGTGGTCTGTTCCTTCAATGGACTGCTACACAGCTCTGAGAATGGACAAAGTGCTGTGGCACATGAATGAGTCTTACAAATGTGTATTGAATGAAACAAGTCACATATAAATTAGTGCACACACATAAGAGCATGATTTCCTTTATACAAAGGTCCAAAATAGACCAACCCAATCTATGGTTGTTTAATAATAATGGTCAAGTTTGGAGGCTACAACAGTGATTGGGAAGGGGTACCACAGAATTTTAGGGTGCTGGTAATGTTTATTGATCATAATGCTGATTAAACAGGTGTGTTCATTTTTCAAAGATTCATTTAGCTATATATGATTTATGCACTTCTTATTCTTCAGTGCAAAGCTTTTTTAAATGAAGGACTATAACATATTGGCAACACCTTTTCCACTGTGTGACTTAAAAAAAGAAAAATTGCCTAGGGTCATTCAGCAAGCAAGTGGAACGACAGAGTGGAAAATGATAATTAAGGGTAATTTAATGATAATTAATGTTTTAGTTAAATTACCTATTTTGTTTGAAAATAAAAGAATGGAAAATGGAAAGTGAGAATAGTCAATAAATAATTTTGACATTTACAATTAATTTTTTTAATAAAACAGTTTGCCGGGAGGATTCTTATCACTCTGTAGTCTCATGTGCTGCTGTGGTTCTACCAACGATAGAAATGAAGAAAAGAGAAGAACTAAAATTTCCTGAACCTTCCAAACAGTAAGTTATTTTTTGGATTTTTCAGAACTCTGTAAAACTAATTAGATAACTGATCAGAATTAAATTGCTCAGAAATTATGATTTATAATGAATGTGTGAACACTAGTATATTGAAAGGACAGAAGTAATTTTTATAGTATTTTAAATATCAAGCTATCCTTTACTGTCTCAGTGAATAACTTCTGCATCTTCTACCTTCATGTGTTGGAACTGTATACCATTCAAGTTTCATTCTGTTAGCTTACCTTAGGGACATGCAGCACTTTATTTCTTTAACACTGTGATTATGGGTGCACTGTTCTTGGATGGCTTATTTTATAGTCAGGCTTTAGTCGTCTAAAATGTGATCAGTTTTTAATATAAACTTCTTAGCTTAAAGTTGGTTTGCATTTTATAAGGAATGAAAGTTGCTATTTGTAACTCTTATTTGTAACTATTTTAAATAAATTACTCTAAGACTTTACAGTATTTAATATTTCTATATTTTTGCTATTTAAACAGATCAAGTTTCACTTAAATTTAGATTTGATCTTATATTGAATAAATAATAGATTTTTTCTTACAAAGAAATTAATGATAACAAATGTAAACTACATGAACCTGAAATAGCAATTAAATTAGAATATTTCTAGGTATGCATTATATAAATGCAAAGGGAAGGTTTACTGATATTTTCCAGTGAACTAGTGCCATTCCCACTTTAAGGTCTCAGATTGGAGACTAAGTGATGTGTGGTGTTGCCAGTGATTGCTGGCTGACCACCATCTGCGCCAGGTGGTAGTTACCTTGAAGCAACTTCAGTTTTCCCCATTGGTTTACACTGTATCATACTTGTTTGTTTCTGATGTAATTCTACTGGATAAGTTCCCGAGGACAGAGTTTCCTGGAACATGATAGTGCCTGATACTCTTTGTGAAATCAATTAGAAAGTCCCTTAATGTTATATTCAATAATGTTGAATTCAGATGGAGCAATGTATATATTTGATAGCATGAAGATAGTATTAATATTCTCATTATAGAGAAAAGAGATACTAACCATTTCAGAAAGTAATGATTGTAATTCAGTTTTAATATAGTTTAAAAGTGAAAACAATTTAGCTGCTCTTAATATAGTCTAAGTTTTAGGTTCCAATTTTTTTGTCTAATAGGAGGAAAATTACATCTCATATATGCCAATTGAATTATATTAGAAAACTCAAATGCATTTTCTACAATACATGTATGAGTTTACATAAGTTATCTATATATTTATAAATAGGCTCTTAAATTCTTTTAATTATCTTTTAGTGATTCTGCTTAAAACTGGGAACAGTGTTATTTGCTTGCACAAAATACCTTTGTTCGCTCCTTAGTTCATAAATATTCATTCTTCTTTATTCTGACATGTATATTAAAGCAGACTATTAACTGACTGGCCTTTTTTTTTTTTTTTCTTTTACCCTACATATACTCTGATACTCCTCTGTATTCTCTGAATTCTATGAATCTACTTTCTTATTAAACATTCTCCCTTAACATCATTCATTCATTCATTCATTCATGGACGTTTTGTTGTTTTTGTTTTTCTGAGTCAGAGAGACCTTGGTTAAAATCCTAATTCTGATACTATATATGTATCCATATATATATATATATATATATGGACATATATATGGATATATCCATATATATGTATATGGAAATTGGGGACCCTTTACTTAAGCTCTCTGTGCTTTCCTTTCTTCATCTGTTAATTGGAGTGATATCACCATCCTTTTACAGTCATTGTATTAAGTGAAGTGATACTAGTAAAGGACCTGAAATCTAAAAATCCACAGAAGTATTAGTTATGTTGTGTCTTCCATAGCTTCAATTATCAATATTACCAATGACTTACAGATATATATTCTTCTTCTGAAGGCTTTTCTGAATGCAAGTCTAATATTTAAAGTTGCTGACCTGACTTGTCTAACTAGACATCCTACCAGAATCTTATGCTAGGTATGCCTAAAACCAAAGTAATGACTCCTGTAGCCCCCTTAAACTTTCTGACTTCTATATTTATGTAAAGCTACCATTGTTTTTCTTTTCTTAAAATCTCAATATGTTTTCTCTTTACATTTCACATTCAATTACTTATTGATTACTTGATCAATGTCTCTATTATATTCTTACCATTTCAGCTGACCAGGAAGGCAAATACATCTAATATTTTAAAATTTTTTCTAACATTAACTGAGATCTTAATGAAGCTATTCATAGTGGCCATTGTATCAAATGGAGATTACCTTTGCTCTTCATTTCTCACACTGCTATTTTGAGAATTAATTGATAGATGGAATATATTGCAAGAACACAATATAAATACAGAGGCATAGTGATTAATTCAAAACTTTGATTTGCTAATGAGAGAAGCCGCAATGTAAATTGGTTTCAGAAAAACCAAGGGTAGTGGTTCTTATTGGTTCATATAATTAAAAAGTATAGAGATAGAAATTTCCTTAAGTATGGCTGGGTCTAATACTCAGATGGTGTCATGGAGGCTTATTCTTTCCATCTGCCTGTCTTTGCTCTGCTTTCCTCTCTGTAGTTTTCATTTTCAATGAGGGTCCTCTAAAGGTGATGTTACTACCTTCTGCAGCTACTGGAACAGATTTTTATCTTTTCAATAAATCCAGTGGATTTAATCAAAATCAAAACAAAACAAAAACTGAGATCTGAATGTCACTGCTTTTAACTAGCTTAGCTTATTTGACATGACTATGGTGAAACAGTTGCTGTGTCTGGGAGTATTCGATGATATGATTGACTAGAGCCAGGTTATAGGACAAACTCTGGAGCAGAGTGAAAGTGAGAGGGGAAGAGTGATTCTGTACTTGAATATGGCTGATGTTGATAAAAGAAGGCAGGAGTAGATGCTAAGAAGTCAAAACAACAGGTGGTCAACATAGGTAGTAATATCACCGTTAGTTTTAAAAGTCACAGTTCTTTATTATATTCAAACCATTGGCATTGAAATATCACATTAAAGTATAATTATGCATATCTTTATTTCTTGTTTCAAATGTTTTTCGCTTAATTTTATTTCATATTATCTGATCTAGCTGTGCTATTGAGAGGTGGTATAACTTGGTGGTTAGGAATTCAGGCCTTGGGCAGCTTTGTTTTTGAAACTTTTTTGACCTTGACCACGCTTTGTTTCTTTTCAATGTGGAAGTTACTTTATAGTGAAATGCCTGAAACACAATAGAAAGGAAATAATATAAAAAAAGTTTATACGATGAATCATGGAACACTACATCAAAAACTAATGATGTAATGTATGGTGATTAATATAACATAAAAAAAAAGTTTATAAACTGTGGAAGGAGCCGAGGTGCCCTTCAACAGATGAATGGATAAAGAAGATGTGGTCTATATATACAATGGAATATTACTCAGCCATCAGAAAGGATGAACACCCACCATTTGCACTGACATGGATGGAATTGGAGGGGTTTATGCTAAGTGAAGTAAGTCAAGCAGAGAAAGACAATTATCATATGGTTTCACTCATACGTGGAACATAAGCAATAGCACGGAAGAGTACAGAGGAAGGGAGGGAAATCTGAAGGGGGAGAAATCAGAGAGGGAGACGAACCATGAGAGACTATGGACCCTGAGGGAGAGGGGTTAACAGGGTGATGGGAATTAAGGAGGGCACGTGTTGTGATGTGCACTGGGTGTTATACGTAACTAATGAATCATTGAACACTACATCAAAAACTGATGATGTACTATACAGAGGCTAACTGAACATAAAAAAAAAGTTTATACTTTTTTACAACAAATATATTTGGGAAATAACCATATCACATTTTTATAAGTGAAGTTACCAAAGGTTTGTATGGTATTAGTTTTGTGTTTTTGGATTTCCAATTAGGAAATATAATAATCCACCAGTATAATACTGAGATATTAGAATGTTGTAAGTTGAGACATTGTCTTTAGATACCTAGTATTTTCTTTAAATTCAGGATGGAATTATTTCTTTAAGTAAATTTTCCCCTCTAATTATACAGGCTTCATATGATAAATTCATAAACCATTGCATTTTTGAAACATAGGACTCAGTAGAGTCATGTAATTCAGAATTCAGCAAATCTCTTGCTAAGAAGAACTGTAATAATCTCAGTATATGTGCTTCAAAATACATAAGATTGTACAGGAGACATAATATAGATGACAATGTGTTTTTGAGGATGTTATAATCCAGGTAAAGAGGTAAAACATACCTGAAAAGATAAAACTCTGTATAAAAGCAGCAGATGTTATTTATCAATGTAAGATAGAGATTTTGGTTAGGCATATGATTGTCTAAAGTTAGGTCAGGCTTATTGATTTATCAGTATAAACATATGAAAATAAAGCCAAAATATTGGTCATGATTACACCATTGTATTGATATGTCACTTTAGAATGTAAGAAATATTTTATGACTGAAATATTTCTATTTTAAAAATTGTTATGTATTTATCAGTTTTTAGTCACATTCAACAAAGAAAAAATAAGAATTAGGAATTTCTATTAGGGATAAAGTATAAATTTGTCAGCAGAGCAAATGATAGGGAGAAAATATCTAATCTTTTAGGAGGGAAAGCTACATTCTGAGCTCTGTGGTGGAAAAGAAGCAGATTTTTTCTTATTGATATATCTAAAGTTCATCTTAATTTGGAAAATAAAGGTGTGGATTTTGTTTTTTAGTTTAGTCTGGTAGGTACCTAAATACCATAGAAAGAATAACTTTGCTAGAAAAATAGAAAAATCTATATGATCCAAAAAGAGTCTATACAATTTTCAAATAATTTGATCATAAGCATAGAATGTTGAGATTGAAGCTTTTAGTGTGAAGCTTTATAAATCAAAGGGTAATATTAAAGATATATCCACATATCTAGCCACTCAGCTGTTACTCAAACCTATATATTTCTCAAATCACACTTAACATACAAATGAGTGCTTAATGAGCTGTATATAAAA